GCCGCTTGCGGCTTTAATTTTCATTGTTTTGCTTTTGTTGTCACCAGTTCATCTCTGGAGTTGTGTGCCAGAGCTGCTACGAGAAGGAATTCTGTCCTTCTGAATGTGTGCAAAATGCAAGCACTGCAGTGTATGGGGAAGAACCACGTGATAGCAGAAGACAGCACCTGCGTGTGGCCGCAACGCAACACCACAGGCTGCACCGGCTGTCACATGTGGGAGATCTGCGATGGTGGGAACATGCAAAGCCACAAAGAGCTAATGTAGAGATTTTGCAACTTGCAATCATTCATGAGGTTTGTCCTGATGCTCCTCTTTCAGATCAAACCAACGACTGTCGCTGTAAGGACTCTGCAGATTGCTCGATCCCAGGATCAGACGTGTGCGTCCGTGTTGGAGAAGATGCGACTGCGGCCCCACAGACCATGAGCGAGTGTGAAGCAGGACATAGAAGATGTAAGGGAGAGACGGTGTCAGTTGTCAGTATCGTTCCCTGCACTTCCTGAGGATTCAGGCGGGATACTGACTGACCTCTCGTATTCTGCTCCTTTATCCCACTTTTTTCTGTGCAACCAATATTGTTTTAAATCCCACTACTTAACACATTAAAGGTACATTTTTATGCATGCATTAAAACACAACTAAACTGTATTAAGACAATAAACAAATGAATAACAAATCTGTCCTTATTTTTTGCACTTTTGCATTCATAAAATTAACCTACAGAGAAAAGCAAATACTGTAAACATCACAGATAAATATGCATTCACAGACAGATTAGGGTAAAATGTGTTGCCTTTGCAGACGTCGGGTTGTAAAGCATTTTGCTTTTGATGCCGTTTGAGTTGCGTTCACATCAGACTGCAAAAAAAGTAGGGCTTCATTTTGAGAAAAATAGTTTTGTAAATGTCCCTTGAGGTAATGTTTGAAAATCTGTTTTCTGGACTGAGATTTCAAAAGATGTCCTGTGCTTACTAAACCAGACAGCGTTCAGCCTGCCAAGCAAACCCCCTGCTGACAGTCTATTCCTGCCTCTGGCTCGCTGCCCTCTCATAGTGTGAGTGCATGTGTGACTGTGTGTGTGTGTGTGTGTGTGTGTGTTTGAACCTGCCTGTGAAACAGTGTGAAGATACCGACTACTCAAATGTTTGGTCATGACATCAAAATGCTTATAGTCGGGCACATGCGTTCCACCGCTTCACGTGTTGTGCTCACAAAGGCTGGTGGCTGAGAGGAAGGTGTTAGAAGAGCTTTTGAGCTGTAGCACACGGGCTGACACTCCTAAAGGAGGTAATACACACAAACCGGCAGAATGTTTAGACATGTACAGGTAGGCTATCGCTCCCCCGTGTGCTCTGGATTTTTAAAAAATGCATATAAATGAATGGGAAAAGAACAACATTGGCAAGGTGTTTGGATACAAGTGCATGAAATGGTGAAATCTCTGGAAATCTGGTTCAACTTAATTCTTTCCAAAGATATTTCAACATTTGGTGTTTTGGTGATGGAGGCATCAAAGTGCTGGGAAATTTTCCACAAGTGTTTGAGTAATGGTAAATGGACTGCACTTATATGGCGCTTTTCTACCTTGGCGGCACTCAAACAGCTTTACAATGTGTTTCTCATTCACCCATTCACACCCACATTCGTACACCAATGGTGACAGAGCTGCCATGCAAGGTGCTGCAAGGTGGGAGCAACTTCGGGTTCAGTGTCTTGCCCAAGGACACTTCAGGGGATCGAACTGCCAACCTTACGATCAGAGGACGACCCGCTCTACCATGACTGATATCATGATATTATTCAGTGACTTTCTGTGGCCTGTATGGATGTGTTTGCGTCGCCATGATTGTATTACATCAGAAAATGTTCATTTTTTTTATATGTTTGCCTTTAAAAATAGTTACTGAAAAGACTTGCTTGGGTAGCTTTTACATATAAAACTACATCTATCTATCTATCTATCTATCTATCTATCTATCTATCTATCTATCTATCTATCTATCCAGTTTAAACGTAGCTTTTTTTTTTTAGGGTTGTAACAGACTTTGAACCATCCTTTAACCTCCACAGTCAGTTTGATTTTTCCCACATTGTGTTCGACGTGCCTCTTTTGATCGTTTATCGCCACCCAGTGGACATTTCAGGGCATTGCATGCAACACAGTCACAAACACCAGTTGATAAGTTTCAATAACAAAAGTTTTTATTAACAATGTAAAATGACCTATATCAGCTTTGACTACCGTATCGTCACCGTGCCATAAACATTGATCGCAATCTTTAATTAACCCCGAACTACCTGCCCTCCGTCTGCCGCAGACGGAGAGAGATCCTCCCAGCTTATTCCCACAAACAGATTCTTTGCTGACCACCTCCAACTTTGAAAATAATTCAGAGAGCATTGCGTTAAGAGTATGTGTATATACAAGTCTAATGTCGATTTATGGATAGATATTGTGTGCAAAGAAGTTTTCTTTTGAGTATTGTATCATATATTCCTTTTTCGAAGCTGGAAAGTTTAAGTTGGGTACAGGTTCTTGGTTTATGGAAGACTAAATTAAGTACATTAAGAAGAAAAACAGCAAGAAACAGAAAACAGAGACTGTAATACACAACAAACTTATTCTGCACAAACCTGTCATCTCGGCGTAGTAGACAGACGAAGGTATAACTTTGTCTTTGCAAGTGCCATCCTCAAATATTTTCGAACGGCGTCTATTCATAAGTTATCACATGATTTCTGACAAAACAGACATTTATATTCCCTTTTTTTAAAACATGAATCGTCATCGCACTCACTCAGGCTCGTGGAAGTAATTGAACATTGACATTGTTTTCGGATGGCCTCTCATTCGCTTTTACATTGGACAAGCAGATATCTGACTTCATTTACCAAAAAAGGGAGAATCTGTTGCAAAATATCTTAAAATATATGTTCATGACTTTTGTTTTTCATTACATTGCAGTTACAATTCTTCTTCGTATTACAAAATAAAATTATAAAATGGGCAGCCTTTAAAAAAAAGAAGAAAGAGACAATTTATTTGAAAATGGCAGTAATAGATTGGTGGGAGACACAAGTGGTGAAGGACAGTGGGTAATGGTGTCTTTGTTGCTGCCTCCTACCCACGAAGGCGGGGCCCTTAGCTGGTTACCAGGCAACAGAGCCCAAAGAACCGCCTCTTCCTCTGTCGGACAAGCGGGTAGGGAGTCAGGTTCAGCAAACTGCTGTCATCTGGGCACAAGAGCACATGGACACGCAGCCAAGTCAGGCACTTTTTTTTGCTAGTTTTCGTCACGATGCTGTGTTTGTGTATAATTTTGAAAGTGTCTCTGATCGTATGGTGTGTGCAAAGTTGTTGGTTCTTACCTTGGTTCTTCAGTGGTAAAGGCATTGTCTCCCTGAGTTTACTGAGAAGGTTCTTCATCTCTCTCATATCCCTGCAATGACACAAATGAGGGAAGATCTAAATCTAGTCGTAGATTCTCACATGTTCACACACAATCCTGTTTCCATCCCTTCAGAGGAAACTAGTCTGGCTCATGTTAATTCAAAGAGACTCATCTTAACACTTATCCTAACCTATAAGACCTGCTTTTTGAGTGCATCCCAACAGTGTGACTCTGTAAACAGATTTCAGAGCCACAACCCCAGCAAATACTTTTGTCATTTTTGCAGCCACATCTAAAAATATATCTCAAAATATACTGTAAATGTATTACTGTCCTATTTCACAACCTAATATAATAAACACTCTGACACAGCACAGTGCACACAGTGACTAACAGATGCAATCCCAGTATTTTTCAAGGAGTTTGCAAACTGTCAAACTATGAGGCAGCATCTCCAGTGAAAACTGGATGTCTTAAAGTTTGTATATTTGAATCTTATCTTTGATAAGTGCAGTACAAAAACTGCAGAGACCATAGATTACCAGTCATAGCATCTTGAAACAAAAAATAAATTTTCAGAGGCATGTACTTTCACTTTTATACGATGTCTTATGAGAAAAAAATATGTAAAGCAGTTATTTGCTGCTTCATATACTGCTGTAAATAATCAGATTGCACATTATTAGAGGAAAATTAGAAGTGCGATCCAGTTAAAACTACATATTGATGTGTTTAAAAGAGAGAATTTGCTGTCAATAATGTAAACCGAAGAATTAATGTTACTAGTTTTGTGTTGTTTAGTTCTTTAAATTGTGTTTAATTCAACAAAAATGAAAGAGTAAAACTATTTACACCGTAACAAACACACAAATTCAAACACACAACACTTGCTCACGCCCAGACGGACACAAAACACATCCTGTCCACCTACTTTTCTATGTTTTCTATGTCAGTGGCCACCAGCCAGCAGAGCTGAGGACAGTCAGTCGGGGAGGAAGACGTGTCCTCCAGGATGGGGATGTCTGAGCTCTCCTCGATCTTACTGTCGACTCCTGGAGGACCACACGGCTCTTTACCTAAAGCACACAGAGACAAGCTTTGATCACGTGTCATCACCAGACACATTAAAAGATTAAAAATAGCTGACCTAAAAGTACCCATCACTGTGAATTAGTCCTTGGGCTCCAGCTTAGATTTACTTAGATTTATGATCATATAGATGGTGTTATTTTGTTTAAATGTAAAAAAAATAAGGTATAAAGTTGTCAGTAAATAAACACATCTATGATTATATTTTGAAACATGAGTGCCTTCTAACAGGTTTCCTCAGTTCTTTCTGTCTATAAGCTCCCATGAATCAGTGTACTAACCTTTCCGGTGGAGCTGCAGGGATCCCAACAAGCAGACAGATTTGAGCATCTCTGTGATGTACATCTCCAGACAGCACTGCAGCTGGATGAACAGCCTGCAGATCTCAGGGTGGATCTCCCCGTCCTCTGGCCTGAAACGGCACAAAGAAACGGAAACGTTACATCCTAGCGGGAACTTACAATACTCTGAAAAACAGTGACCGGCTTTACGGACACAATTCAAAATCCTGATTTCATTTTGGAAAGAAAAATTCATAGAGTCTCTGCAAGTGTCTATGTAGCTCAACTAGAACAATGTTCAGTGTGATTGTAGGCCTCCACCAAGCAGCACAGTAGTCTTCTGTCCACATTTGACCTTTGACCTTGCAAAACTAAAATCTCATCATTTCATCCGACATTCATGTGAAATTTGGTCAAAATTAGCAAATGAACTCCTGAGTTATAGCCAAAAACATGTTAAAACACCAAAATCCCATCAGTTCATGCCGGAGCCCAGGTGAATGTTTGTGCCAAATTTGAAAAAAATACCTCCTTTCTGATATATCTCGTTCTAAATAATGAGCTCCACATGAGGTTGCAGTGACCTTGACCTTTGACCTTTGCTCTCTAAAATCTAATCAGGTCATCCTCTAACTCAAGTGAATGTTTGTGCCACATCTGGAGAAGTTCCCTCCAGGCGTTACAGAGATATTACACAAACAATCTGAAAACATTATGCCCCTGGAAAGACACTTTTAATATGCAAAACATAAAGAACATATGGGAATATATGGTAAAAAATCCCAAAGTAAAAATACCAACAACAACATTTCAAATTTATTAAAACTGATTATTTCTTAATTGCAGACTTTGCTCCATTATGCTCTTTTACTGGACTCGTGTGTGAGCAGTTTTCACTTGACTGAAGTGTGAGTGCAGAATGTGTGAAGGAATATAATGACTTCTAGAATACTTCTGTACTTTCAGAATGCACATCTTCTGTGCCGCACCATAAACAGCAGGATTAGACGTGGTGATACTGACCATTTTGCTTGCTTGTAAGTACATTAAAGTGCTCAACAACCTGAACTTCAAGCCTTTGATAGCAGCAGCTGAGGTCAGAAGGGGTCAATGATTCAAAAATAGATTTAAAAAAAAGAGTTTAGTGGATTAAAACTTCCAGATGAGATGCACAGTTTGCATTGATAATGGATGATTTCTGTCCCTTTTATTCCACATTAACAGCAAGGAAAGCTGAAACTGCTACCATTATTGTTGAAGGCAATCAAATCTAACACAATGTATTTAACCACGGCTGATCACTGGGCTTTTTAAGGGACGCCACAGTATCTTCACAATCGTACAAATCTGGTGTTGGAGGGGGAAACTACAGCAGGTGTCGTATCACATGGGAAAGTGACGGAGACGAAAGGCGTGAAACTTGCACCTGGTACAAACATTTCTCGCACGAATCAGGCTGTTGAATTCCCCTCTTCCAACAGCGAGCGTCTCTCTCTCTCTCTCTCCTTGCCATCCCTGTTTTGTCACAGTGCTGCCGTCTACAGTGCCGCCGCTAAAGCGCAGCTGTCACCGACGCTATCCCGCTTATCAGCTCTTGCTCTCGCACATTGGAGAGGCCTCGCATCACTCAAACCATTCAGACGCACTGACTTTATTTTATTAAAGGGGAATGATCTGCGCCGTCTAATTCGAGCTCTGCGACACCAGTTAGCGGAGACAGACGCTGGAGCGGCCTGGAGAGGCTTTAGAGAAGGAGGTTTAGAATGTGTGTTGGTGATGTTGGGAACTTAGGAGCTGCTGCAAATGTAAGTGCAGGCCTATAACAGTTGGTACACAGACAGAACCGTATCTAGGTGTTTGATTATGAGCCAGATATTGGAAAAATAATAGTGCAGAGTGTTAATATCCTGCACGGTTTAAATGTGATGTTATTATTGCTCGGCTAAATGCATTTAAAGCTACACTGAGGCAACAATTTTGAAGACACTGATAAGCATTCTCCATATGATGCAGCAAGTGGGATAATTATTGAACCAGTAAACAGGTTACAGAGCAGCCTAACACATTTTAAACTCTTCCTTATAAAAAAAAATATGGCTGCCTCGTTGTTTATATATGCGTATGCCAATTACAAGGAGGAATCTGCTGCTGGAGTAAATAAGATGCTGGTATGTTTCCAACGATGCCTGAGCACTGGGGAAGCAGCAGCTCCTCCAGAATCTCTCTCACCGCTGGCTTCAGCCTGTCCGATTGTTATTTAAGTAAGTTTGAGGGAGCCAAGTCAGTTGGCATCCTAGCCTCGCTGAGGATTCTCGAATCCCAAACCTCGCTTTGCCCTTCTTCCACTGGCACCGACGCAGACGAGATGCCGTCGGCCAAGTCTATTTAAGGATCTACCATCTTGGCCTCGCCTCTATCTTCAACCAAAACTTCCATCGCAAACAAACAAACAAAGCACTTGTAATGTAATTTAGCAACGAAAACACACTCAGACCAACCACTTTGTGTTGAGTGCTATCGTTTGTTTTCTTTTTAAAGAAGCCCCCAAAACATCCTGCACATTCATGAACTATCCAGTACCAAATGACCACCAACAGAGACGCTCTCACAACACATTACAACAACAGCAACCAAAAAGAAAAGTCATTGGTTCCACATTATTGATACGATTATCTCCGATATTAGTCCTGGGAAGCATCCCACTTTCATTCCACTTGGTGCATTAGGCCCAGCTAATGGGGGAGTGATCAGTTACAGTATGCAGTTGTGATTGCTTCCTGGTAAAGCTCTCCCACTGGCAAATTAGAGATGTCATGATTTTTAAAAGCTGGTCTCATGTTCTGTTTTGTTTTTTCTCCTCCACTCACACTTAAAACTCTCCAGTTTAATGGAGCAGACACTTGGATGATTTCTTTTGAAGAGTAGGCTTACAAAACACACACACACACACAGGAGCCTAAAAATGGGGATGCTTATGCAAATGAGAGATTTAGCCTACTTTGGTATATAAATTAGACACTTTACAACTTGAGGCTCTGCAGTGTGTTGCAGAGCGCCCCGTTTTGGTGCGTCTTTTTTTTGTTATTTCTATTCCAGGACCATGGACAGCATCCGTGCACAACTCACCCGGATATCAAGGAGAGGCTGTGGTGAGCCGCTCTCGCCATTTCGCAGCCTTTAGTTCGGGTCTTGAGCATTTCTGCCCGTAAGGAAGGACAGTCGACGGTGATCTCGCCGATGGAGATGACCAGCTCACGGTACAGAGCCACGAGTGTATTGAATTCTTGGACGATCTGCGTTACAGTGAGACACACAAACAAACAAAAAATAATAAGAAGTTAGGATCCAGGCAAGTAACACAACACAGAAGTTTATCTTGAATATGACTTCTGTCCACATGAAAAAGGTGTCAGCCAAGAAGGAAATGCTGAGCAGCACTATACCCAGCCTTTTTTTTTTCCTTCCTACACTGGGGACAAATAAGGTGCCATGTGCAGAGATGCATGGTGCTATGCTTCAGGAAAGCAGGATTTAAAAAAAAAAAACTGCAACCTTGCACATATGTGGCCACAAAAGCTCATTGATCTCCGAGAGAAACAAAGCAAAGAAAAGAAAAGTGAAGCATCGCTATTAATTTTTCTTCTTCTATTAAATCGGCCAAGAGCGCACGATTAACGCACCGATTCCCACTGTTGCTAAATCTGGTTTGCTTTTGCACGAACAACCTTTGGTGGTGCACAAGTAATATTATTTTTTTTCCTCGTTTCGTGCAACTCCTGCATCCTGCTGTAGTCCTGTAAAGGAACAGCGAGGCTCCATGACGCTCGCTGATGTATGAACGGGGCTGAAGCAGCAGCAGCAGCAGCAGCTTCTATCAATCCTGTCATCTCTCTGTCAAAACACGGGACATCTGTGCCACGATTCACCAACACCACCCCGCAGATAATCCCGCAGCCTAATTCTGCTAATTTAAAAGAAGGAAAGAAAGAAATCAGCCCGAGCAGCTTTTCCACACTCTGAATGCAAATCACACAGTCGATCTGCACGCCGAGGTTGTTCTGTTTGGCTTCACTGCCAACAAAGCAATGCAAATGCATAAGGCTACAGCTATTTTTAGGTGCTGCCAGACCGGGTTATAGTCTTCTCTTTTTTTTTTCTTTTCTTCTTGCAGCTATTAACAGCTTGTGCACCCTTGCATGCACGGGATAGTCGATCTGTCCAAGAACAAAGAGCGGTTGGGATAATAAACACAGCGCTCCTTATCGGAGGCACCATGCAGGCATCGACGTGCCGCAAACCTACCATTCTGCAGTCGGCCACGGCTCGCTGGGCTTTGCGGGTACTTTCGGTGCTCTCCCTCCTCTGTGGGTCTCGGTAAGGAGGCTTGCCGATCTGGAAGATGTTCCCGGCGGATCTGGGGCGGTTTTTGCGCCCATTCGATGCAGAACTCATGCATACACATCCACTATTAAAACAGCCCTAGGACAGAACGATTTTTTTTTTTTTTTTGGTCTTATCCCCCCACCTTCCAAACTCCAACCACTTTCTCTCTTCCTGCCTCGCCAACCCCCCTTTGCACCTTAACTGTTCACCTTATCCTCTCCTCCGCTTTGCGCTCAGTTCACCTTCGCCAACTACTGGCTGGGGGAGGTTTTTCTTTTTTTTTTTTTTCCTTCTTTTTTTTGAACCTCGATTACTGTTATTGCTCTATCCCCCTCGCGTTCTTTCTCTCTCCCCCCACACGTCTCTAATGTGGGAGAGGGAGCGAGCGTTTTCCCAGACGAGCCTGAAAGCGCAGGAGAAGTGCCGGATGAGCGCCCGTGACTCCTCTCCGCATTGCCTCGACTGCGACGGGGCGCAAGTCACCTTCACTCCAGCAGCAGCAGCAGCCTCAGCAGAGCGAAGACTTCACACCCAACCCAAGAGTCCACAGCTAGCTGAGGTGTCTCTCCTGACGCACCGATGTCAAGAGGAGGCGATCGCGTTCACGGAGACTCTCCAAATGCAACCATTTTTTATGATTGCGCGTTTCCATTAAAGCACCCAATAAGACGGAGGGCGATAACGATCTTCTGTTTTTTTTTTTCTTTGCTGCGCACAAATACGCGCTGCCGGTGTCCGCGCTCAGCTTGAAAATCCGAACCCCCAAAGAAAAAAAAAAAAAAAAACACCACCCAAAAAAAAAAAAACTTAATTCCTGGTATCGCGGTGTCAGCTCGCCTCCCGGCGTCTTGTTCTCTGTTGTGCGTCTCCGGCTCGTCGAGGCGGGCCTATCTCTAACCTTGGAGAGGCAGCAGAAGACGAGCAGTTGCTACAGGCCTGACGTGGCTCTGTGGCTGGCAACACTGCGCACCCAAAGGACGCGAATACTAATAGGGCCCATCAAGTCAGACCCCCGCCCTGCTGAGCTCTATATGAACTCCCTGTGAAATTCTGGCTATCGGCCACTTCTTTCTTTTTTGCCTCCATCCAGGAGAAGCGCAGAATTAAAAATCAATCAGTATCCCAGTAAAGTGCGCCTGTTTAAACTTTATCACCCAATACCACTATTTAAACTGCTCCTGCCTTATGTATAGGTTACTGTGGCATATTTATCTTATATGCAGGCTCATGTAATCGGAGCTTAAAGTTTGTTTTATGGCACGTTTACACCTCTATCACACTACTGCAGTGATCTGTGATGTTACTAAATCGTATGTTGCTATAGACAGGCAACTACATGAACACAAGAAGTGAAGTTAGCACGCACACACACACACACACACACACACACACACACACACACACACACACACACACACACACACACACACACAGTAGTGCTTTCATCAATGGCTCACATTCATTTCCTCTAGACCCACTGTAGCCAAAACCATGCCTATAAATAACCCCATTAAACCGAGGCTTCACCTTTAAAGTTTACATTTCTATATTGGGCACTCACTTCTTGTCCCCAAAAGCAAAACTGTGACTATAAATAGATTTACGTTCCCAAGTACAGACACACAAGTTGGTAACTCCAAGAACTAAGACACACATGACTGTATATGGGTATAAACATGTATAATTGATCAATAAAGGTGCCAGTTTGTTGTCTATGGCTGCACCACAACAGGATAATATATTCGCTCAAGATTTACAGGCTTGTGCTGTAAATGTATTTGAATCCATTCCTGGATTTCACCGATCACTTGTCATTCTTTGCTTTGCACAAATACAAAAGTGTGCGGCAGATGTTCTGAATAAACTAGGAGTCAGATTCAGATAGGGAGTGCTCTTCCCAAACCTGTATCACATCTTAATTGTGCATGCAAAAAAAAAAAGCCTTTTTTAAATCCATTAATGTGTCGTTTACATGTTTTATCGCATCTACACCCGGAGACCCAGCTGCATTCGCACGTATCAACACCTAAGGTGGCACCAAGAAGTGAGAAACGCTCAATGTCATTTCATTTACATGTAACAGATTCTGCAGCAATTATGCGTTTGGTTTCGGTGTTGATCTCTGAGCAGAGATAACGCTGCAACAAATCCCGTAGTCCATTAGCAATGACGGGCCGGTTAGTTGTTCTAAAATGGGCTCTTACTGCAAAATGTGCATCTTCTTGAATAATTAAACATGTTAAGACTTTGTTAAGAGTAAAGTTTAAACTCTTCCTGAGTTACCAACTGCAAGTGTTTCACGGCCTCTCCGAGCTGCAGCCTGCAGCCCTGCCCTTCACGTCATGGAAAACTTGGCAGAGGACAAAGTCAAGTTTCTCTCCAGGAGAAACCAGAGCCTTTACTTTCCAAAGACTGAACCCAAATATATCCAGTTGGGGCTGCTGTACTTCCTGCACTAATTTTGGGTACTTTTCCACCACGGGGGTGAAACTTTATGTCCAAGGTGACTGTTTATGAAGCCAGACTCACCAGAAAACTTTACTGAACCCATAGCTTTGGGCTAATATGGCTCTACACATATACATACATATAATAATTTCAGATTATTATATTTTATATTTTTTCCCTGTATGGATCATTTGCTGACACCTATACACACCTACCAGTCCACAAAAGCCTAGCTTACCACAGGTTTGTGATATCATGATAAATAATGAAATAACATGTGAATATCAGCTGCTTTCTAACTAATGGCATACGTATGATATAGAAACTCATTTGTCACATATTATTAACAAATATATGAACTTAATTTTCTTGCAATAAGTTAACCAACATTAGCTAATGACCTGGAAATGAACTGAGCTTCACTGTTATTGCGAAACTATACCAAACTATATGAAGACACTATAAGCCCAGTGCATGCTTTACAGTGATATAAGTCGAAAAGGAAAATAGTAATTCATCCCAATTCAAAAGCGTGAAATGTTATAGGACTGAATGAGTTCATGACCAAACATGGAAATCACTTAAGATGTACAGATTTTAAACCCACATCTACATACCTGCATGTATGTGCTTCTGTGCAAACTTTATTTGATATAAAACACAGTGACTTAGTACAACCACACATTCGTTCCCTCCAGGGGCTGCTTGAGAACAAACACAACGCAATACTCTTCCTAACTGAAGAAAATTAAATTTTAAAAATGAAAACATCTAGTTCAGGGGTGTCCAATCTTGGTCCTCGAGGTCCACAATCCCACAATCAGGTGTGTTGGAAGAGGGAAACATCTAAAACATGCAGGATTGTGGCCCTCGAGGACCAGGATTGGACACCCCTGATCTAGTTTAGACACAGTGAATAGTATAATTCAAGCTGGGAAACTGGAACACAAAGATTAATAAGACTACAAATGGTCTAATTTGATGCCAAAATGCTAATCTGTCCATTGGTTGTGTGTTTTCGTTTTGCATTAACCTGTAAGTCCATTGATAAAGTTTTTAATATTGGTGTAGGTAGGATTAAATAATTATTTATTATTGGAGTATATAATGTCTGTAGTCACCCTGAAATGCAATGTTCAGAAAGTATTAACTCTGGGAATCTTTCGTCATTAATCGAGGACCTCCTGGTTGTGTTTCCCAGTGACAACAGGTATTTGTTCCATTTTCCAAATTACTTTATTGTTTTGAAAATGCATTTTGTAAATCATTTTACAAATACGCATTGTTGTATAAAAAAGCATAATCATGTTTTATTACACATGGGCCGCTGGTAATGGGTGGAAGTAAAACGTAACAGCAAATTGTAATTCTCCATTCAAATCATTATTATTGTATGAAATGTCAAGTTATGAATTTGTCAGTATACATTAGAAAAATAGTTTGACTGGGAGCAGTCCAGCTGGCCGCGTTCATTTGAACTATAATGGGATGATATTGTAGGTAAAACACTACAAGCTAAGAGCCGGTGCATTAGCTCTCCTCCATACAGGAACAGGACATGTTGTGCAACCCACATCACATGTGCATCATGTGGAGACAGAGAACAGAGAACATTGGATTCCCAAACATGCCCTACACCGTTTCCCCATTTCAATTATTTATTAATGAGAGTCAACAAGCTGGCACACTGTTGTTTTCCCTCCACCACGACATCCCACCTGCTTGAAATTCACTCACTGGTATCTCATTAACCCCTACAACTTAGTTCCCCCCTCAGCCTCATCTTTAACTCCTTGTTTTATTACTTTACCCTAATCCCTCTGCATATGTTTTTTGCCTCCTTTAATTGTTGCCGTCAAAAAGAAGGGAAGAAGAGATAGCAAAGAAAGCAGAATATGAAGAAGCCTATGACCCAGTTGACTGAGTAGATGTAGATGATGACCATGTCCATGTCGAATCGCCAGCCTCGAGAGTCATCCTCAAAGTCAATGGCGTCCATACGGTAGCCTCCTCCGTGGGGGAACTGGCGTCTGGCGATAGGACTGGACTGCCTCTGGAAGCCTGGTTTGGATAACGGTTTTCATTAAAATTACATTTGAAAATGCATTAGGACTGACTTTAAAATATGTCCACAGCTTCTGCTTCGCTTGAATTCATGTACATTACAGTAGATTCCAATGACGACGAGTTTTCATGGATCAGAACGGCAAGCTACTGTTTAGGAAGGCCATGTGCTCAGGAAATTGGTGGTTCAATGACATTCATAGGATTCTACTATCAGTAAAATACACAATAGCTTTGTTTACGTTTTGGGGCTGATTCATATTTTTACGTAGCTGACAACATGTATGCCGTAATGAAGGAAGACAGCATTTAAAAATGCACATTTTAGGGAGTTTTTTAAGATTTAAATTGGTTGTAGTTTGGTGGATGGGACAAATAACCTCATCATTTTAGTAAATGTCAAACCAAACATTTCAATCCACTCATGCACAATATGTCACTGCTCCCCCCCTTCAAGAGCTGCATGCATTATAGAAACAGTTTCATCTGAGCATGTGCAGAATGCAGCAGCTTATATGTGCATTCTGTGCACTACAAAACTGAAACATCGATTTTAATACAGCTTGGGTTGTATTGAGGACAAATGGGTAGGAGATATAGCCTGTCACAAGAGAAACACAGTCGGCATGTATCACTCTTTAAATTCCAACTTGAGCTCATGTATGTAAATAAAAAACCTGCCTCCAAAGATGCGGAAGAGCTTCCTGCAGCTCGGCAGAGGCCACTTTGCACAGCTTGCTTTCTGAAAGTTCTGTTTCCGAGACAGGTATTCCTTTGGGAAGAATGTCCTTGCCGTTTGGTTCAGCTCTACAAGACAGACAAAGAGACAGATTTATTCAGCGGATTCAAAAAAAAAAAAAAGAAAAAACACATCAGACGTTGCATCACTAGCCACCCTAATTTTCTCCCTCCTCTGTTTCTGCATGACCTTGGCTTCGGTAATCAACACAAGAATCTCATCTTGTCATCTAATCATTAACAAGAGCCCTTAGTGCTTCTACAGTCCTCATAACCATCCCATCCTCGCCGCTCACTTTCCACCACATACATCTAGAAGTAGGCCAACGTGAATCACAGAAGTTCATTACTTATTCATACACTTGTCCAAATCAGACCACATTGTATGTAATCAGTGTGCAGTCGTCATGAGGTTACATAAAATGCTTTCGCCGACACACGACATACAGTCATGCAAATGCAAAAAACACACAATATTACAGTGCGTCGCATGACATTGTTGTGTTAATGCTGACATACAGCGTTAGGGTTGAATTTTTCACTGGTAAAA